TAGCATAGCATGGTATGGTATGGTGGTATGGTATGGTATGATGAAAAGAAGAAAAGCATTGGAAGGAGTTCATCGTGTATAATCCATATATCACAAGCTACACAGCGCGCATAGATAGCAATGGATACTTTTGGATTGGAAGGGGAAAGTTATGTGGAATAGAATACTCTTCTCTTATTGTATATGGTAATATATATTTTGAGATTCTGGAGTAAAATTGCTGGGGATTTGTAAAGGGGAGAAGACGCGGTTAAAGGCATTGATGGAGCCAATAAGTAGCTATCAGGTAGGTAGGTACTAGGTAGGTAGGCTCGTAGGCAGGTGCATAGTTTACTGTAGGAAGTCCCCGAAGAAACCCCCGACCTCGGAGTAAAATAGTATGCGTTTTTATGAAGTTTGTGAAGTTTATGAAAGTTATGAAACGAACTGTTAGCATTTATGCAACAATTGACGGTCATCACCGCCTCTGTTGGTGAATAAATCCCAAGGTCATTCCTCATTGCCATTACTCCGAGTGATTGCAGCACCCAAACTCAAGCATTTTCTTACCAAGAACACTCATTCTTGTCTAATAGAGCTTCAATCATTGGTCCAATCGGATAATAACGGAACAAAACCATTTCCAAGCTGGCTTTCAGACGGGTGTTTTACCCCGCCATTCCTCAAATCGTGGCTCCTCAAGCTAGACTGTCTGCTATTGCACGACAGATAAATCCCCATTTACTCGACAACTCTACCAATCCGGTATCCACAACACCATCGAGAAGCTTCAGTAATTCTACACAAGTTCAAGAAAATAACATCAAAATGTCGACTCAACAAGCTCACCCTACTTTGCTCATTCCGGGCCCAATTGAGTTTGATGACGCAGTCTTGCAGTCTATGAGCCATTATAGGTATGCATTTACTTATCATCATTGCTGAATTGATCTAAGTCTTGAAATAGAATATGTCACTGACAAACCCTCAAATAAAATAGTGAAAGCCACGTCAGCGCCCCATTTGTAGCAGTATTCGGCGAAACTCTCTCAATGCTCCGCAAGCTCTTCCAATCTACCGACTCCTCTTCCCAACCCCTCGTCATTTCCGGTTCCGGTACTCTTGGATGGGATCTCGTGGCTGCAAATTTGGCAGAACCAGGTGATGAGGTATTGGTTCTCCATACTGGCTATTTTGCAGATTCGTTCGCGGATTGTTTTGAAACTTATGGAGTTAAACCTACACAATTGAAGGCGAAGATTGGGGAAAGACCCCAATTGGATGAGATTGAAAAGGCATTGAAGGAGAAGAAGTATAAGCTGATTACGGTTACTCATGTGGATACTTCGACGGGAGTTCTTAGTGAGTTGAAGAAATTGAGTGAGCTTGTTCGTCGGGTTTCTCCTGAGACATTGGTTGTGGTAGATGGCGTTTGTAGTGTAGGATGTGAGGAGATTGAATTTGATGGTTGGGGCTTGGATGCTGTTATTACGGCGAGTCAGAAGGCGATTGGTTGTCCAGCTGGTCTTTCAATCTCGTACTATAGTGGTAGAGCGATTGAGACATTCAAGGCTAGGAAGACTCCTCCAGGATCATATTTTGCTTCATTTAAGAATTGGTTGCCCAGTAAGTTTCACATTTGCATTTTGGTGTACACGGTGGGATGCTAATGGAAAACAGTAATGCAAAACTACGAAGCTAAAAAGCCATCCTACTTCGCCACTCCATCTCCTCAATTAATCCACGCTTTACACACTTCTCTCACCCAAATTCTCTCTGTTCCTCTCTCTGAACGTTTTGCTAAACACAAAGCTACATCACAAAAGATCAAGAAGGCAGTCGCGGATCTAGGGCTCAAACAATTGGCACCTAATCCTGCTGATCAGGCAAATGGCATGACTGCTATTTATCTTCCAGAAGGTGTTAAAGCCCCGGAGTTACTGCCAAATTTGGTGAAGAAGGGAGTAATTTTTGCAGGAGGCTTGCATAAGGAGATTGCGACAAAGTATATTAGGGTGGGACATATGGGAGTTAGTGTTATGGATGAGGGCAGAGGGGATGTAGAGAAAGCTATTGAGGCACTTGGTACTGGATTGAAGGAGGCAGGGTATGAAAAGGCTTAGTTGCGTCCTTTGGAGGAATGCAAAAATCGAGAGCGGTGTTGAGGAATGGGATGGGACGGAGTGATGTATACTTTCTATATTATTATGGGCAGAGATCAGCATTGCTCGAAAATTATCATGGAACCATTTGGAATCATTTAGGGGAACTCAAAATCGCTCTTAGGTGGGGATGGGAATATGCAGATAGGTTGGAGAGGTCAAAAATTATTGTCTAGGTGGTTATATAAAAATGGATGAATATGGATGAATGCATATAAATACCAGGTATATAAACGAATGAACAAACGAAGGAACTTTATACGTATGAATCTTTGAACCTTTGAATGTGGTAATAAGGTGAGAATAGATGTTTCAGGTAGGTATTGATTAAATAAATAGATAGATAGATAGATAGGTCAGCATTGCCTGTTCTAGAAACAGAAGATGCGGGAAGATGTGGAATGGAAGGGTGGTGTTGACTTTTTGGTGGGATGGATAGGTGTTATCATAGATGTTATTGGTTGTGTTGGTGGGTAGATAGGTGAATAGGTGAATAGGTAGGTAGGTATATATTTATACAAATTGAGTATTGATTTAATCTCATTCTGCATCCCTTTCTTGTTTCTTTGTTTCTTTTTTTTTTGGTGGGGTGGAAGGATGTTGTGAGGTTGGATTGGGTTGGATTGTGGGTGTTTGTTTGAGCTTGTTTGTGTGTTTGTTTGGAATGGATGGGTATGGCTATGGAGAGAGGGAAGGGGATGGGATGAGAAAGGTGATGAGGAGGATGGAGAGAGAGGATGGAGAATAGATAATATTGGGTTTTAAGGAACTGCATATGTATGTGTGGAATAGTAGTGGAATTGAAAGTGTAGTCATAAGGAGGTAAGTATATATGAATTTCAGATGCATGAGTGGCAGAAGATGAGAAGCGAGTAAAGGAGATATGAATATGCAAGTGAGTGGAAAATCTTGAGAGAGAAGTGTTGGTGTGTAAGAGACCTTTTATCTGTTTCTTATTCGTAAGAAGTCAGGTGTTGGATTTGGGTTGTTGAAGTGGAAGATTGCTTTTTTTTTTTGGTACAGATTGATTTTATTGAGGGGTGGGATTGTATTCATGTATGTTCTTGATGGATGTCGATAGATATCCTCAAGAAGCTAGGCTTTTGAATATATCCCCCTGATATTATTTATGTGCATAGATTAATCTAGTCTTGGGACTCATAGGTATAGATTAGTCTTGGGAAATTTACCTTTAGTAAGCTTGAAAGACCTGTGTATTGCCATGTAGATATACTGCTTTTTGTTTGGCAGTTGGGTCTGCGTTCACCTGGGGATTAGACTCTAATAAGCCTTTGGTCGTGTGGACGTACATATCTCGTTGAAAGAGATTACGACAGCCATGGACTTATTAGAGCTGCAGTCTTGACTTTCTTATCCTTTGATAATGCTTGCATTATCTATTTTTTGTTGTTTGCTAAGCATACAAGTTTGTTTTGCTTGTGATTGACATATCTCTCTCATCTCCTGTGGTCCACTGCTCATAAAGCAATGCCGTTGATACTCTGCACTGACATTCGATTGATGTAGTACTGGTTATTCCTAAATTCAACCTGAAGGATAAAGCAACTGTAAAAAGAAGGCTGTTAGGCGCTTCAGGCTTCCATGGTCGTACAAGCAATTCATCTTGCCTCAGACACCCTATTGGACAATAAATCCATATGTAACAAATGCAAACTCATTGGTTCGGAAATTTAGACACAACTCGGTAGAAGAAATACGGAAGAGTGTACGGAAGCCTTAGCTTTCCACAAGATCCTGCATTCAACAGATAGGTAGATATCGGTACTTATAGGCAAGAATGTGATGTATCGAATTTCGATTGGTGGATGTGTTTGGGGGAGAAGCTTCTTGGGAGATCTGGTAATCCATGCCTAGATATGATATCGGATTCACAATGTTGAATCACTTGATTTGATAAATGTTGTTATGATGCAGGTATGAATAGCTGTGTGTGAAATGAGATATATGACATAGACCTTGAAAATGACTGGTACTGTATAAGAGAATGAGGAGTACGCGAGTATATACTACTGAGTATATAAGAGATTTTGAGGTGAAGTATTGATACAAACAGTAGATGGGCATAATAAGAGGTATATTTAGCCTCAGGAAAAGAGGCCAAGGAGCATGATGACAGATGTAGTCCCAGGACGGAGAGGATCCAGGGGCACATCGAGTAGATGTAAACGTCTCATGCGCCATCAATGTAGAGAACTGAGGATCATGCTGAGCTAGCTTATGCAGGTGAATGGAAGAGTGGGTAAACTAAAAACAGACGGTTAACCACCAAAGATAGAGGTAATGGCAGAGAATTGATTCTGTACGGCTCCCTCACTCACCACGCAAAGAGAATCGAGGGTCATGATGAGTATATGCAATTTTCTCACCCATGACTCTGCTGTAGTTGCTTATAAAATAATCATAATCCACAGTGGATCAATCTGTTCCTAACAGAGGAAAGAACAGCGGTATATCGTATCAAAACAAGGTCATGAATTGAATGGAATTTGATTGAATATCCTTGAAGCTTCGAATTAAAACACATCAGAGGAATTCACTCACGGATAAATCTTCCGAGAGAGATAATTTAGGTGTGATCACCTGACCTGATGCTTTACCGATCGGTATCCAAGGCCCGCTGAGAGAATCCCTCCTCTTAGTGGGGCAGAAAGCACTTTGAACATGCGGCTGGGTCCAACAATCTTCAACTTGACATTTTCGAACAACTTCTTCAAACATACCATCAACTTCTTTTATAAAGTTTCTTGTAACAGCGCAAGCTGCACAAAAGGATATCAAAGCATATTGCTTATCTACTGAGAGCAGGATAGGGTGTTATACCTAAATCAAGCTGCAAAGATGGCTGTCACCATTGAAGAGCTTGACGCGACCGTCAAGACTTTCTATGAAGGTCGCGGTGAGGCTGTGAGTATATACTATATATCCAAATGAATCTGTTCATACCGGAACATCTTTACTGACGCGTTTGTTCCGTAGCAAAAAGCCGCTCAGGCTGCAATGAACCAGGTACGACTTCCTTATGCGCCGAAAATCTTTCTCTCGTTCCATATCGCCATCGATACTGATATACTATATAGTTCAAGGAGGATCCAGATGCGTGGTTATTAGTCGATAAGATATTACAAGAGTCTACATATCCGCAAGCCAAATGTTGGTCAAGGTTCCTTAACGCTCTCTACATGCTGTTTCGCTGACAAATTATTAGATTTGGGTTTGCAAGTACTAGATCATGTTATCATGACAAGGTGGAAGGTTCTGCCCAGAGAGCAGTGCCAAGGTAAATAGATTCTGTTACTGTCCTTAATGAAGAACGCCACACTGACGTGTTCCAGGTATCCGGAATTTCGTCGTTGGTTTCATCATACAATGTTCCGGATCGGAAGAGTCTCTGAGGTCTCAAAGAGTCCTCTTGAACAAGTTGAACCTCGTCCTCGTTTCCATTTTGAAGCAAGAATGGCCTCACAACTGGCCTACTTTCATCAACGAGATCATATCCTCCTGTCACACAAGTTTATCGATATGCGAGAATAATATGTCGATTTTGAGGTTGTTATCGGAGGAGGTTTTCGATTACTCGGCGGACCAGATGACCTCTGCAAAGACAAAGAACTTGAAGACAACGATGTGTGCAGAGTTTTCGTCCATCTTCCAACTTTGTAACGAAGTTTTGAACAGCGCCACTCAAGAAAGTTTGATTAAGGCTACCCTCGAAACCCTTCTTCGATTCTTTAACTGGATTCCGCTTGGTTATATCTTCGAGACGACGGTTATCGACACTCTTAGAGAACGATTTTTGGAGATGCCCGAATTCAGAAATGTAACATTGAAGTGTTTGACAGAGATTGGAGGACTCCAAACTGGTACCGGGAACAACTACGACGAGAAATTGGTTCAAATGTTCACCGAAGTTTTGACCACAATTTCCAAGATTATTCCTTTGACTCTTGACCTCAAGAGTACTTACAATTCGAGTAACTCCAAGGACCAAGAGTTTATCCAGAATTTGGCCCTTTTCTTGTGCAACTTCTTCTCCTCCCATCTTACTGTAAGTTTTCCGTTACTCGTTCAGTCTTCCTTGATGCATTCTAATTATTCCAATAGCTTATTGAGAATCTACCGAACCGTGATTTCCTCACACATGGCCACTTCTACCTTATTCGAATTTCCCAAATCGAGGACCGAGAGATCTTCAAGATTTGCTTAGAATACTGGACTAGACTGGTTCAAGAACTGTACGATGAACAGCAGTCGCTACCCATTGGAGATGTCAACCCTCTTGTCGGAATGGGCGTCGGCGGTATTTCGAGTCCTGGTGCACCCAACCCAAGTTTACTCGCCAATTATCCTCTCAGAAAGCACAAGTACAATGAAGTACTTTCGAATTTGCGAGTGGTTATGATTGAAAAAATGGTCAGACCAGAGGAAGTTTTGATTGTTGAGAACGATGAGGGTGAGATCGTTCGTGAATTCGTCAAGGAGAGCGACACCATTCAGTTGTACAAGACAACCAGAGAGTGCTTGGTTTATCTTACCCATTTGGATGTAGTCGATACCGAGAACATCATGACTGAGAAGCTATCTCGACAAGTCGATGGTACCGAATGGTCATGGGCCAACTGTAACACATTGTGCTGGGCTATCGGCTCCATCTCCCTTGCAATGAACGAAGAGACTGAGAAACGTTTCTTGGTTACTGTCATCAAGGATCTGCTCGGGTTGACTGAAATGAAACGAGGAAAGGACAACAAAGCCGTGGTTGCCAGTAACATCATGTATATTGTTGGTCAATATCCACGTTTCTTGAAAGCTCACTGGAAATTCTTGAAGACCGTCGTCAACAAGTTATTCGAGTTCATGCACGAGTCCCACGAGGGTGTTCAGGACATGGCTTGTGATACGTTCATCAAGATTGCCAGACAGTGCAAGCGTCATTTCGTCGCTTTACAACCTGGCGAGTCTGAACCATTCATCGAGGAAATTGTCAGAACCATGCGCAAGATTACTTGCGATCTATCTCCACAGCAAGTACACACTTTCTACGAGGCATGTGGTTACATGATTGCAGCTCAACCACAAAAGAATTCGCAAGAAAGACTCATTGCTGAATTGATGTCATATCCAAACGCTGCTTGGGATGCCATCATTGCCCAAGCAAACACTAACCCTCAAATTCTTCAAGACGCAGATACCATTAAGGTCATTGGTAATGTCATGAAGACCAACGTGTCTGCTTGTTCCTCTATCGGAAGCTACTTCTATCCTCAAATTGGACGCATTTACCTCGATATGTTGTCTATGTACAAGGCTACCAGCACGATGATTTCTGAAGCTGTTGCAAGCGAGGGTAAGTGGTTCTCTCACAACGCTTTTACAATTCGTAATACTAATTTTTGATAGGTGAAATTGCCACCAAGATGCCTAGAGTTCGAGGTCTAAGAACTATTAAAAAGGAGATTCTCAAGCTCATTGAAACGTTCGTTGAGAAATCCGATGATCTTGAGATGGTTCGAACAAACATTGTTCCAAACCTTCTTGAAGCAGTCCTGATCGATTACAACCGCAATGTTCCAGGTGCACGTGATGCTGAAGTTCTCAAGGTCATGTCTGTTATCATAACCAAACTTTCTGTACGTTGGACCCCATATCGCTCGAAATATTCAGTGGTGCATACCCTTTCTTATCCTGGCCTCCTTATCTTGGAGATACATCCAGCACTTACTAACATCTAATATAGGGCCTCATGGAAGATCAAGTGCCAAACATTATGTCAAACGTGTTCGAATGCACTTTGGAAATGATCAACAAGGATTTCTCGGAATTCCCAGAACATCGTGTTGAATTTTTCAGCCTTCTCCGAGCAATCAACCTTCACTGCTTCCCAGCTCTCCTCAAACTCGATAACCGACAATTCAAGTTTGTCATCGATTCTTGCATGTGGGCTAGTAAGCACGACAATAGAGAGGTTGAACATGCCGGCCTCAACATGTGCTTGGAGTTGATCACCAATATTGCAGAAACCGACCCCGCCACTTCAAGTGCTTTCTTCCAGCAATTCTTCGTTCCGATTCTCCAGGATGTCTTCTTTGTACTCACCGATACCGATCACAAAGCTGGATTCAAGTCACAAGCAACTTTGTTGGCAAGAATGTTCTACTTCGTTCACCCAGCTGACGGTACCGCGCCAAAGATTCAAATGCCTATCTATGTTCAGGATCAAGCACCACCAAACACGAGTAACAAAGACTTCCTTACAAACTTTGTGGCTAGTTTGTTGCAGAATGCCTTCCCTAACCTTCAAGCGTAAGTCGTCGCCCTTTTTTCTATCAGTATATCTTACTAATCCATTTTAGACCTCAAATTCAAGCCTTTGTTGAGGGACTCTTCACTCTAAATCATTCTGCAGATCGATTCAGACTTAACTTACGGGATTTCTTAATCTCGTTGAAGGAGTTCGCTGGAGACAATACCGAGCTTTACGCTGAAGAAAAAGAGACGGCTGAAAGAGACGCTAAGGCCGCAGAGCGCGAGCGTCTATCCAAGGTCGGAGGACTCATTAAGCCTGCAGAACTTGACGATGAAGATGAGTTGTGACTTGATGAGGAGCTACGGATCGACTCTGCACGACCGGAAAACCCACCCTCAGATCAAAAACGCCGAATCAACTACAATGCCAATAAACTTGATGGTTGGGATGTTTATGATCTCTAAACAACTTCCATACACATCTAGCAGGACAAACTGGTGTCCGATCTGGATAATGATTTTTTCTTTTACTTTTTCGCCCAATGATATCACATACTTAGGAGCAATGTCGCTACCTACGTGGAGTTACTACGAAGGACCAGAATGATATTGTTATCTAAAAAAGTAATTTTCTGTTTAGATTCAATCCTCCGATGAACATCGTGAGGCGATACACAATAGGCATTTGCGAAGCAATTTTTCATTTCTCGATACCTTTGAATTTAGGAGGCACATTGTGCATGTGTCAGTTGGTGGAGGAAGTTTGAGCAATTTTTGAGGCATTGGGCGAAATGAAATGGGAATGAGATACGACATATGAAAGAAATGCAGAAGCATTTTCAGATATCACAATAAATATGGCATCAAGGAATTATGAATTCTTCAATGTGACAATTCTTCATAAAGTACTTGGTAGGTAGATACTTTTCATACTGACATGCATTGCACAGGTTACTCCATGCCGAATATCCCAGTCAGAGTGAGCTGACCAATCAAGACTCTCAACACTACAACGTGCGTGTATTTAACCACAAGTCATGGTGACCTTCCCTTCTTGCATAATCTTCGTCATTAGTTCATCCTTCAGTGCAACCATCTGGAAAATTGTACCTGGGGTAAGAAAGCTAGGAAGCTTCCGCATCTTCAACTTCAGGCACGTTGCATCATTCATTGGTCAGTCTTCCGGTGGCAATACGGATCCTTTGATCGCCAATATATTTCGTGTATATCGGCACCCGCTTCACCCGGAGCAAGGAATATATGTTCTCCATGCCATCCCGCGATCTTTACAATGTTCCTGTGTACCTTTACTTCTTTTCTTGTTAGCATTGGTACTATTGATGAGATTTTCTAGTGATGTCTTTAAGAAAGTTCCTCACAGTGGCCCCTCTCTTTGGGCTGGCAGCAGCTCAAAGTAATTCATACGTTAATCAAACTACATGTAATGGAAACACATATACGTATCAGGCACTAGGAGGCTATGGATATATTCCAGGTACTGCACGTGATAAATTTGGGGACACAATTGGTGGGATCGGGAGTGCGATCGCGATCGATACAAAGAGTTGGGAGAAGTTAGAGAATGGCAGTTACACGGGGGTTTTGTGGGCCTTGCCGGATAGGGGATGGTTTGTTGCATTTCAATTCCCTTTCCACCCCCAATCTACCACTTATCTATCAGTCCTCAAGTGACGACTAAGTTGCTCGAGAATTTTGGTGAAAGAAGTAGATTGAACGTACTGATGGACATAATAGGAATACAGAAGGCACCCTAAACTTTCAGACCCGTGTTCATAAATTCGACATAATTTTCACTCCAGCGGCTAATGCGACAGTGGAAAGTCCTTCGGGGAATAATTTGTGGTTTAAATATAACGACACGGTTCTGTTTTCTGGACCGGATGGGACGCCAACGACAGGGCTGGACGCGGATGGATCGGGTCATTTGAGTTATGCGGGGTTCCCTGATTTGCCCGTGGCGACGTATACGGGTGATGGATTCGGAGGAAACGGCACGGGAGGGAGGAGGGTATCGGTTGATGCTGAGGGATTGGTGTTGGATGGAGCTGGAGGGTGGTGGGTCAGTGATGAATATGTATGTTTTCCCGATCTCCTAATGTTCCACCTTGTCTAACTATCCACTAGGGTCCCTATATTTACCACTTTAACTCTACCGGCACAATGACATCCGCCATACGACCACCAGATGCCTTTATCCCCATGCGTAATGACAGCGAATCTTTCTCTGCCGACTCTCCCTACTACTATCCCGACCAAGGTTCTGGCGATGACGTCTCACCTGCCGATAATCCTACTGGTAGAGATAATAATCATGGATTCGAAGGTCTCAGTATTTCTGCCGATGGAAAAACTCTCTACACACTTCTTCAAGCAGCAAATAATCAAGAAGGCGGTCTGAATTCTCAAACAGAACGCTATAGTCGATTTCTCTCATACGATATCTCAGACCCAGGAAACCCATTATATTTGAGTGAATATGTGGTCTCTCTTCCTCTATGGACAGATCCAACGGCTAAAGCTAGTAAAAACCCAAAAGTAGCTGCGCAGTCTGAAATTCATGCCTTGCCTAATGGACAATTTTTGGTTCTGGCTAGAGATTCGGGGTCAGGAAACGGACAAGATAGCACGGAGAGTATTTATAGACAGATAGATGTTTTTGATATTAGCAATGCGACGAACGTCAAAGGGATGAAATACGATTGTGCTAGTTGTGCGATTGCGAGCTCGACGGGGGTTCTAGAGAGCGGAATTACAACGGCGACATACTGCGCGTGGTTGGATGTTAATGATAATGATGAGTTGAAGAGGTTTGGAGTACATAATGGGGGAACGACGGATAAAGGATTGTTGAACGAGAAGTGGGAGAGTATTGCTGTGGTTCCTGTTGATGGGAAGGAGGGCGCGGATGGGGAATGGGTAAGTTTTGTTCCTTGGGGAAATGGAGATAAGAAGATTTGCTAATGAAGGATTGATGTAGTATATTTTTAGTCTGAGTGATAACGATTTTATCACGCAAGATGGGTATTTGGAGGGAGGCAAGTTCGCGTATAGTGATGGGAGTGGGTATGATCTTGATAATCAGGCATTGGTGTTTAAGGTGAAGATTCCGGTCGGTGGGTTGACTGAGAAGTATGGGGTTTGAAAGGGGGGTTAGAAGACGAGTCTAAAGTTTCAAAGGAAGGGGGTAATTTCTGAGGGTGACGGATATGCTGGAGTGTGTCACTCAAAGGAGGATAATGGAGATAAAAAACAACGATTTCTTTTTATTTGTAAAGCAACGGACTAATGATATTTACATGCGAGGGCTCTAACGGCGCTTTCTTCTCTTTTTGGTTTCTCGCTCAAAGAGATTATCAAGGGCAGCAAAGCTTCTACTGGCTCTTCTCATGTTTTCCTCGGCTGCTCTTTGCTCCATTCTGGCTCGCTGTGTCAAAGTGTCAGATGTTTCACCCGCTCTCATATCATAGTCTATCTCGCTTCTTGGTGGCGCCGTAACGATCTGAGGCTCCTGGGCTTCATAACTAGTCACTGGCTGATTTGAGAAGGTTTGTTGTGATTCTGAGTATGCCGGTTCTTGGTAAGTTTGTTGTTGATAAGCTGTTTGATGATAAGCCTGTTGTTGATAGGATGGCTCTGAACTAGTTGATTCTGAGTAACCGTAGCCCGATGATGGGGCTGAAGCTGGCTCTGGCTCCATTTGACCATAACCTCCAGGCTGAGGTGTGCCTGCGCGGTTTGTTGGTTCCCAATAATCATATCTATCCGCTACAGGCATCCCGCCTCTTCCCATATGTCTTCTAGCAGGCGGTGCAACCCTTCCCTGGCCCATGTCGCGTGGATAGTTCTCCCCCCCTCTTGCTAGTGGCATACGATCATCTAGAATTCCTCCCTCAGCTGGCAATTGTTCAAATGATTGCACGTCTGCGAACGGCGGTCGGCCAGCAATCATTCGCTTCTGGGCGTGATCGTGTACGTGTTGCATAATTTCAGGTGTGAGTCCCGTATGACGAACACATCGATAGCGTGAGTCTTCATCATCATCCCTGTCACCTACTACTTCTTCCTTGAATCCGCATATACGCCCCTCCGAGCTTATCCAGAATGTGCAAACAAGAGTTTTGACGGAGGGTTCACACTCTCTACAAATGAAGTTTTCGTTAAGGAACATCTCTTTGGTGATCACGGGGTCTCCGCAAAGCCGCTCTGGTCGTATAATCCTACCATAAGCATCTTTTTCCTCTGGAACTTTGACTCTATGGCAGAACATGCCCTTTTGAGGAAATTTGTCAGCAGGATGCGAATCACAGCGAAACTTCCACTGTTGCTGCCAGTGCTTGGTCCAGCGATTTGGGCAAGGATGGTTGGGGACGCGATAGTCACAGGTTTCTGGAGGAGCAGGTTGAGTAATCTCGGTTTGGCTCAATGACATTGATGTCATGACCTGAGCTAAAGCTCCCCTTCCATATCCTTGAGCATATCTAGTGCCGGATGCTTGACTAGATGAGGACTGTACTGATGAGCCCGAGCGTTCCCCTTGATCCACTCCCGAACTGAGGTGCGCCGGGGATGCGGTTGTACGACCACTTCCATGGTGGTGACTTGATCGATGGCCAGAATCGCGAGATGAGCGGTGCCTTGAGGATGCTTGGTGCCTTGAGGATGCTTGGCGACTTCTACTACCAGAACTTGTGGATGGGTCACCTTTCTCTTCTGTATCAGGCCGAAGGTAGTTCTTAGACATACTAATGATCTTGATAAGCCATAATCATGGATTGATTGGAGCTAAGACATGATTTATCTTACATGTGCAGAATACCTTGAAAGTGTAATTATTGATCCGATTCTAGTGTAATATACCCAGAGCCTTGAAGGTTAAGATACTGTCATCAATGAGCTGCTAAACTCACAAATTATGCGAAGAACTCACGGAAGCTATTTTGGCCAATAGAAATGTAGTTCGCGAATTTGTGACCTTGACCGGAGAGAAAAATAGCACTGAAGCGTGTGCAAGGAGAAGCAAAGAGGGGTTATTTAGCAAAGGCGAACCTCTCGGTATATGGATGAGCAGTATGGAATCAGTCGTGTCTCGTGTGGAGCGGGCAACCAAAGTGCGATGTTCTCTCGTATAAAGGTTGTGATGTCTACTTGTGAAGTGTGGTAGATATTTTGCTGCCAGATGTATAGGGGAAATAAAAAGGTACCGAAGAGGGGGAAGCAGTCCTATTTGAGCACAATTGGGGACTGGAAATGGTAGCTAAGAACCATTTTATTCGAGTCAAAGTTGCCTCGAAGTCATAAAAATTCATAAGAAATTTCTCATGTTGTGTCATTCAAGGTATTCCTGTGTCACTTGATTGGTATTTCGAGTGAAAAAATACTTCGAGACGGCGTATAATCATCTATCTACGACTATATCAGTGGCATTTTGTACATTTTCGAGTCAAAACCCCCTCGAAATAGAACACATTCATACCTAAAATACAAAATGTGTGTGATTTCGGGCAATGACTGATAGTTTTGTTGATATTTCGAGTAACAGCACCTCAAAATAAGGTATTTTCATACTTATATCAATATATATGAGTGACTTAAGGCTATAAATAGCCATTTTGGGATATTCTTAGTCGAAATGATCTCAAAATGCGGTACGTTCACTGATATAGTTGAATAGGTGCTATTCATAGGCGAGTACAGGCCACTTTCCGAGTCATTGGGGGCTCCCATTCACTGAATCAGGGTGATATATAAGCAACTTCAAGGTGTTTTTCGAATCATTAGGGATTTTGAGTCACTAAACAATTCACTTCTAATCTCGAATGAGCCCAAATGAATCAAAACGTGCATAGAAAGTCTACGAGAACTGGAATTTTAGTGCTTGAGGCCTAATGAGGTCTATGGCACTGGGCTTTAAGAACACCAAAATACACCGAAAAGTTCCAGACACGAGTAACAAAAGCTTTATTCGGTCTAAATGAATAAAAGATATACGTCGGATGACCCAAAAATGAGCTTTTGGCTGCTGTGTATAGTGGTTTTGGCTTTTGAGGCCTGTATGCATAATGGACTATCCTAAATGGCTTATCATATTCACGGAGCACTATGAAATCCTCATGAAAAAGCTCAAAATTTCCAAGACCCGCGAGATGATATGAATGGGCATAGTCTGAGAGATCAGATTAGACAGTTCAATTTCCAAGTCGGATGTAGACAATGCTATTCATAGATGTCAGACGAGATGATTAAATGTCTTAGCGAGGATGAAAGCAGAGTGAGTGACTAACTCTTAATGTTGTAAGCGATAATACTTCCTTCAAACCTTAAAACTAGACTCGAGCATTAAATGAGTTCAGGTGAAATCCAATCTAAACATTGCGGATAAAAAATTCCCTCTCGGCGCTACTAGACGAGAGCATTCTATGCTGGATTGAGGAATCAATGCATAATTATTCGGGATGAAAGTACTTCCACGTTGATACGGGAGTGGACATATAAGCATATAATGTTCAATCTAAAAGTTGAAATGAATTTTGACTAGTCCTTGCTAAATTAATTGAGATGAATGTAATCCAATTTATCATTTGATGGCTTGTTCAATGATCCTTTGGGTTCCAATATGTACACTCAGGTTAAATATTAAACCTCTGGAAATACCCTTCGTACATCTATAGATTGTAATCTTAATCATTAGCAGCATTTATGACTCCTATCTCATCTCCATAAACTTACGGGCACTTCATTAGCTTAGTTTGATATTCGTAGATCATGCACACTCAAACATCCCCTTTTCGCTTAAAGTTAGCCTTTGGAGGCGGCAAGTTGGAGCCGCCTGGATAACGGAGAACAAGTGCGAATACTGCAAACCCCACCCTTTAGATCGGCAATGGATTGAAATCTAGAAACTAACTGCTCTATTTCTGAGGTATCGTATTGGCAGGCTTCTTGACTCCAAATGTAGAGTTGGATTGAGAAAGATTCTAGATGGATTATTCAGGAGCTCGGATTCTATCATGATTGAAGGACGATTGGGATTGTAGTGACAAATCCTGTTCAGTTACAGAATCAATCGCATCATAAGTGATTAGAAGAGTTACTGATACAGATTTTCAATTCTTGTGATAAATGAAAATAACTAGTGAATCGATAATAGTTCCTCAAAATAACACGATGCACGAAAGACCTGTCCGCGGCTGCCAGTAGCTGATAAATTGACTTCGTGATTAAAAAACTTGTACGAGGCGGCATGTTTCTTGTCGATTGAGACAATAGTGCGAATTTGAAGTTGTGAAATTGGGTATACCGAAGTTTATATCAAGGCACTTATGTTTTCTTCCGAGACAGCTTAGAAGAGAAAAGAAATGAAGTATTATACATTTTCTATCAACAAATTCTACGCATTGTCCGCCAAAACTCTCTCCATATCGTTAACACTCATAGTCAGCAAATCAGGTCGACTATAATGACCACAAACATCCAAGAAACTCCTCGATTTGAGAATTTCATCCAGATCGAGATCTGCATATAAGAAACTTTCAACTGTATCTGGCAAATCCTCAGACAATTTTCGTCCATCAGGACCGAAAATTGCAGAAGTACCTCCGCCCGGCACGTTCATAACGAGACCATTACTAGTATTCATTCTATCGATTCCGTCCCGACTTAGCACTGCTGTAGTGTGTAAGACGAATGATTGTGATTCTATGGCATAAGCCTGTGAAAGTGCCCGGCTTCCTTAAGACACTATATTAGCTTAATCATCTCCAAACAGGAATGTAAAAACATACCATCTCTGGACATGGACCAAAGATCTGGTCCTCCACTATGTTCCCATATTGGCGGCCACTGGGAGACGTGAATACTTTCGCGCTGGCTATAGCTGTGATATTTGAGTAGAGGAAGTGCATGTTCCCAGCAGGCTAGAGTTCCTACTCGACCAATGCTGGGCAGCTCAACTACGTTTGTCAACGATGAGCTAGATGCCTCGCCAAATACAGTTCTCTCCATGTGTGTAGCCTTGAGCTTTCGACGTTTCACTTGTATGATGCCTTCGTGATCAATAATTGCTTGAGAAATGTAAAGAGAGTGATTCCAATTCTCGCTAAAACCTAACACGACTGCTATATTGCCTTCTTTCGCTGCTGCACATATGCGACCCATTTCGGGTGAATCGATGCGTAATGAGTTCTTGATGTAGACAATGGAGAGATCAAAATCAATACTGCGAGTCCTTGAAGAAGTATTCATCGTTAGTGAGAACTTAGAATCTAAGACTGAAGGAATTGCTACCATATCCATGATGGGTACCCTGGGATCCAGCATTCTGGGAAGGAGACCAGCTGTGCTCCATTCACAGATGCCTCTTTGATAAGAAGACATGTTTTATCGACTGTCTTTTGCAAGTCGAGCCAAATAGGCTCAAACTGTGTCACTGCGACTCGTACATATCTGGGTGGTACCGGTGCTTGGGTCATTGTTACTGAATTGTAGCTGGATTATCCCGCAAAGTTGTGTTATTTCTGTGAATATGAAACTTTTCAGGAAAGATGAATAGTTGGCTATTTATCTTTCTCGGGAGCAAACGCTGAGTGGTAAAAGATATAGAAATATTACCTCATGGTTACTTATTGGTGACTCTGAAGAGTTGGATGATTAGTTGTAGATCGGCTGAACCTCGGATAATTCCATGCCATGAAGCTATCGCGGCGGCATGTTTGAGCCGCCTGATTGTCTGATAAGACTAAGATCACATCAATCAAGCCACTTGATAAGATGAAATTAATGGCATGTATTAGATACCAAAAGTTTAGATAGACTGAAATGTATTTAAGATATAAGAAGCCGCAATGGTTTGCTCTAGAAACGTGTATCCATTTCTTTTCATTATCTTCATAGTTGGAAGAAAATCAAAACAGCTTCCTCAGTGAGCAAATCACCACATCTATTCTTCAAAATTAAAACTGAAATGGCTTTCGGCATTTTGGAGCCAGTGTCAAACACAATTCCATCTGGAACGAATCTCCTAGAGAATTTGTGCAATGCATCAGACCCAGACGGAATCGAGACGCGACTCATCCTTGTCCCCAAGCCATCCGACTCGCCATTAGATCCATTGAACTGGCCTCGATATAAGAAAGAGCTCCTCTTTGCGACTATTGTCTTCGGGGCATGTGCAGCCGGGTCACTCGGGCCAGTTCTTGTGCCTGGTTTTACTGCGGTCGCCATGTTGCTCGATGTGCAGTTGACTGATATGGCTCTTCTGAATGGGAGCTTGATCATGACTCTTGGTGTGAGCGCGTACCTTTGTCCCTGTATAGCCGAAGTATACGGAAAACGAATGGTGTATTTTGTAACGACGACTATTATCGTGGCTGGATGTTGCTGGGCTGGTGCAGCAAGATCGTATAATTCCCTATTGACGGCGCGCGCAATACAAGGTGAGTTCTAGTGAAAGTCTTTCTGGAAAAATTTGAGCACTGTTGACTTATCACCGTAGGTCTTGGAATGGGCGGCTTTTTTGCAATGGCGGGTACCGCTTCAATTACCGATGTGTTCTTTGTGCACGAGCGAGGGAGACGTATTGGTCTTTGGAATTTCAGCGTCATGATTTCAAACAATCTCACACCGATTGTGAGTGGATATGTTATCTCCAGTGTATCCTGGCACTGGAGTTTCTGGCTTCTAGCAATTCTTTGGGCTGTGATTTTGGCAACAACCTTCGTCTGCTTCCCCGAGACGACTTTCTACCGCAATGCAGGCTTAGATAACTCCGTTGAAGTTGATATCTCCGGAGATAACTCAAACCCCTCAAAAGAGAAATCTGACCAACTAGCGTCGACCATAAGCTCACCGAATCATGAGGTCAAAAGCTTAGATGTTGAGAGAAATTTTCAAGTATCCAGTTGGAAATATCATTTTGGGTTTGGCGCTGTAAAGTTTCGCAACCAAAGCCGTGTCTTCAAGCTTTGCGTAGATCCAATTATCCTCTTAGCACACCCTGCAGTCCTTTGGGGGTGTCTAATGTGGTCGGTGGTTTTTACATGGATCATTCTAATCGGTACTGTGGTCTCTCAAATCTTTGGAGCAGAACCATATAGCATGAGCACAACTGCAGTCGGAAAACTTGCAGGAATCGCACCTTTGATTGGATCCACAATGGGAACGCTCACAGCGGGGTGGGCTTGCGACAAGATAGTCGAATATCTGGCACCACGTAATCGTGGTATGTATGAGCCAGAGTTTCGTCTTCTTATCATTATACCGGCATTTATTACCATGGCTATTGGTGGATTTGGTCTTGGAGCTGCCATTGATAAAGGCCTCTCGCCAGTTACGTGCGGTGTATTGATGGCGATTTTAAACTTTGCGGTTGGTGCTGGGTGCACCGGCGTTGTTGCATACACCAACGATGTATGCGGTCAGCGATCTGGTGAAGCCTTTGGTCTTGCTATGGTAAACTATCATTTCGTTGAAGACAAGATGAGAAAGCAATTGTCTAACATTTATTCTAGATTATTAAAAGCGCATTTGCTTTCGGTCTCACATTCGTATTCAACGATTATTATACTGCAGCCGGCCCTCTTGTATTTTTCTCAACTTTTACGGCGTTAACTTTAGGTATCATGCTGACGACAGTTCCAATGTATATATTTGGAAAGAGAATACGATCATGGGCGGATACCACAACTGCGTTGACTTTCTCTGGACCTAAATGAGGTATATTTGTGTTGGAGAAGAGCAAGGTATATACTCGTAAAGACAGAGAAATAGTTGTTTAAGGTTGATCTATAGGAGGAAATAACCAATTCATATCGTTTAATTGAAACGGGTCACCCATCTCATAAATTCCCATCGTGAAGTCAGAATTTGTAAAGTCTCTACCTCCATTGATTTCTGTTGCAGGAAGCTCGTCCTTCAAAGGAAGATTTTCGAGCTTGTCGGCCGAGTAGGAATTTGCAAAATTGCTGTCTTTGTTGTAAGCTTCCGAATCAGCTGTGAGTTGGTATCCCATCGATGACTGATCTTTAGGTTGGCTTGAAATATCATTTTGGGAGTGCGCGGGCAGAGGATAGCTTAGTCGCATTGGCAGTGCAAATACTACAGACCATCTATGTGCAAGTTCCTGAAGCAACGCGATGGCCTTTCGCAATCGCTTCCAAGCATACTTCATTTCTCCCAGTGCTTCTATACACTCTCGGAATCGAGTAATTGACCGCTTACGCAAAGTACCATTCGAGGAGGTTACACTAAGCAGATGCATAATGGCTGCGGTAAGAACATGGTGTACTACGACAAAAGGAGCAGTTCGGAGGCATCCAGCTTTTCGATAGTCTCGGAGCAAATTCGTAATAGCAACAGCTGAAGAATTTGATGATTGCACAGCCATGCGGTAAAGAGCACCATTGGAGTCTTCGCGCAATAGGGGTCGCTGCACCAATATGAGGCACATGTGATATGTCATTCGAAGACTGATAGTGGCGCTAGACTGTCCGTTCCGTTCGCTCGATATCTGTCTATTCATTTCGTTATAGAAGGTGCATAAGGCTTCGCGGGCATCGAATAAAAGTTTATTGCGGCTTTGGCTATCCAAATCATGGAACTGGAATGAGTAACTACAGCTATTAGCAATGAAAACTGGCTATACCTAGCTGACCATACATTTGATCCATATATTTGTCGAATAAAAGAAGAAGCTGACACTCGTAATTGAGGACGAGCTCTGGGAGCGTCGCTGATGATGTTAGAATACTCTCTAACCATGGAGTTCTGATACGAGTCCATGGTATACAGCATTGTCTTCCTAAGCTAAATGTAGCAATTCTTTGAAAATCAGTCGATATCCATTGATATGTTTGCCAAGCTTACCGGTCGATACGAAACCAAAGCCAGAATGTTCGAATACGTGAGTCTTTGCTTTCAGGTGATATACCTGCGATATTCTGCAGATTTACCACATGCAAGCCAAGTTGTGTTGTTAGAGCTGCGCCCATACCTATTAAGAGAAGATATCGGTTAATGATCAATGCTCTTGGGACTGTTAATGAGACTGACAATTATACATCCAAGCCGTATTCTCATTGTCTAAGGTGAGATCCCGCCAGCACAGCATTGACAACGCCCGAACGGTAATAAGCGATGGACAGCTTCGACAGCACTGCTGGACAATATTCTCAGCGCTCTTATAAAATATATCGCCGATATGAGTAGCATTTTCTCGCGCGGAAAAACAAGCTGCAAGAGCAAACATTGCAGTTCGTAGCAATATCTCATCCAAGTTAGCTCTGGCAGAAAGAACATCGAAATTGTTGAGAAAAATCGGATCAAGAAATTGATTGCTTGGGTTCACAACAGAGTTGAAGACATCAAAGAGCTCCTGTTGCAATGCTTCGTCCGCAAGACACTGGTCTGACAAAGGCATATCAGATGCCGTGATGATCGGATTGCTTTGAAGTTGGTTATCGCTTCTGGATTCCTGAGCAGCAGATATAAACTGGAAGTTAGATGACGGGCCAATAAATGAAGTGTCTCCGTTGCTATCTATCTTAAGCTTCCACATCAAATTTCCTACCTCGTCGACTGCAGAAGCCGATCGTGTTTCTTGGTCAGAAGAAGCTCCAGAGAGTCCATCCATTCCTGGCTTTGTGAGCGAAGATGTTGATCCTAGAGTAGCATTACGCGTAGAGATCCCAGAAGAAGCTTCATTCTCTAATTCTTTCACCCTTTGTAAAAGGATCTCAATTTGTTCTTCGAGTTGTTCAACCTCTTCTGGGTCTCTCTTGCGTCTGAGCGGAAATAGATTAGCAAGCTCTAACTCTACCCTGACAGTACTAGAGAGTAGAGATCAAAGTTCAATCTCACTTTCGATTGCTTCGCTCATGGTCGTAAACACAGTCTCTTTCCTGGGCCTGGCATGAAGAACATTGTGGTTTTCTCCCGTCGCATTTGCGCTTCCTTCGTCGGCATTCAACACAAGCAAGGTCGATTCTTTTGTTGTGATCCATGCGAGAGGTTCGAGGGGGGGATCAGGGAATTTGAAGTGAAATCGAACAGATAGTCCATTCACGGACAGAATTGAAAGCTGTCAGGTTCAAATGCTGCAAGTCAATTGGCCTACAGTTTGATTGTTTGTGATTGAAGTTGTTGTACACTGGCCCGGCCCGTATGGTGATTAGGTAAGATAAGATTAGCATAGCACGTGACTTGACCAATTCTCATGATGTGTCGTAGTCTTTGGTGTGATCTCTTTCGAATTGCACGACCATTCTTTTGATCATTCTTGAATATGGAATGTGTGTGCCGACGCAGAGAGAGTGGTGTATAGATCAAATGATATCTCATACGAACCTGACTACCAGTCAGCCCCCCATTTACAATTGTCCATTGTCTTCGGTATCCATTTTCAACGACCTGCAGTTTGGCCTCCACCGAAGTCGCGGTTCATACATTGCGATCTTCACAAGCTTCCGTACAGTGACAAGCCAAAGTACTAAGATATTATAGCCAACGCGTTAGCCAATCAAGACTTCAGGATCACATCCTGCAAAGTCCTCCATACTATGGTTAGGATGAAAGCTCAGCATCGTTCGAATTTTACAACCGAGGATAGGAGAATAGGTACGGCTGCCAACACTATCCGGCCTGCAGAAATTTCATCCTACTACTGGGGTGCGACTCGCCAATTGTATTTCATTTTACTGAGGGCTTTGATCATTGCGCATTTGTTACCGATTTTTACGTGCACAGGTTTATGGAGAGACCTTCTAGCCTCGACGAAGGGTCACTGGTCTAACGTGGATCATGAGTGGTACAGATTGGACGCAAGAGTTGCATATCGGTCAGGTACTGTTCTTTTTCAAATGTTTCATGTCCACCAACAGGGTGTTCACTTTCGCGCCCAGTACAGCTTACAAAACAGGAGTTAATTCGTTTTGACTTTCAATCAGGATATCTATTTTAATGAATCCAGATGGAATGTCTTTTCCATTTTCCCGTCTATGATGTTGGGCCAATGTCCCTCTCAATTAAGGTAAACATGTAAGAATACTGGAGAGCTTGCTTAAAACGACTGCTTGGTTGACAGCACTACTGTCCCTCTTGTTTGTTCCACCAAGACTGATACTGACATAGCATCCATCGGTCCCAACAACTGTAGTCTCAGTAGGAAGTCTACCTCCATTGTTGCAAGTTACGACATCAGTACCACTAACCAATGGAACTGCAGTGTAAATTCTGGAAAGAACGAAGCTGAAATCAGACGCCGATGTGCAATCGGTAGTTTCAGGGAAGTTGACATTCAGGAACGTTTCGTCTGGGAGATATGGGGTACCTGAAGCAACGATGGCATCGACTACTATTGCGCCTAATTCGCCATAGATAGTGGCATAGGCGGGTGCTGCAACATTCCAGGCGGTTGCGGATCCTTCGGCTCCACTGAAGGCAATTGCTGGTACACCGAGCTCTACAGCCTCAATCGCTGCCCCAACAGTGCCGGACACGAAAGATATAACACCAGTGTTGACTATCAGTCATTAGCCTTCGTTTTATTAAGATCCATTGCAGTCAAATACATACCTCCAACGTTCGGCCCAGTAACAGCAAGGTCAGGGGCGCCTCCGAAGTATCCTGGGGCCAACGTTTCGATGCCATACTCCATCGCAGTTGCAGGGTAAGAGTTGACATAGTTGAATTGAGGGGCTGAGCTATTATAGCCTACGGCTGGACTACCACTTGGACAGGAATTAAATTCGCATGCCTCAGTGAGGACAGTAGGTGTACCAGTTAGAGAACCTTTGGGTAATAGTTAGATTTATTCCCTAGGATGCTGAAGGGAACTATTTTCCATACCTGCACCACTCTTGTTCTCTGCAGGGGCAGAAACGAGAACATCATGTCCCGCACTGGTCAGAGAATTGTACAGAGTTCTGATATTGATCTCAGCCCAGCCATCATCGTTTGCAGAAACAATATTAACTGCCTGAGCAACAGCTGGAAGCAATGCTAAAGATGCAGTTGCGAAACGCATGATTGATGGCTCGGTGCAGAACTGAAGAGTGTACAGTTTCAATAATTGACTTGGAGACCGAGAAAGCGACAGCGAGAGGAGCTTCTGTAACCTCCTATCGCCGGGTTAATCAACTCATTATATACACAAACTCCTAGAAGAGAAACGTAATTGTCCATTCACCTCACCTCAAAAAAGCGGGGTCGACTTGGTACCTTGTGAAGTGGAATTGCGGAGATTGCAAGAATGTGACCCACGCACGGTACCTGTCACTTTTCACCTTCTGTGAGGCCAAGCAATTATTTTTCCATGTGCACGTGAAAAAATGTAAGGAGTTCATGATTAGATCGAGTATAGTTCAGATGGACAAGAGGGGAACAAAGCTTGTGAGCTTGTATCTTGTAGAGTACCGGCATCTCCCCGTATGGTAAAGCTATAGGATGCCGCGGTATAATCCTTGGCTTTGAAGAAGGGCCTTCCGGAAGAAGATATTGCTCCGATGGTGTGGTTAAACAACCATCTTTCCTACCATCAATGCCAATACCCAACAGTCCCACGGAGATTTTCAAGCCGAGATTCTGATCTCATTACCGTAATTACTAGACAAGTTTAAGCATCTAGAAACTCTGATTGGTACGATGAAAAGTATCACGTTTGATGTTTGTTGATGTGAGTTTTGCTTGGTGATGCGGTGAGAGTGGAGAGATGAAGGGGTTATCTCGCTTCCACTTATCAGATGATTATCTCCGGATCTCCACGTGCTTAGCTAACAGGCTCAGAAGCTAATACCATTCCGAAGGCTGTATCCACCTGACTGACTAAGCTTCGTGAATCACTCAGTAAGGAAAGAACGAGGAGAACAAGAAGAGAAGAAAAAAAGCATGATGCAAGAACCTTACTTGATGGTGAAAAGAAATTGCAAAAACATTTAGACACCTCACAAAGGAGCAATTGAAGCTCCCTAACCGGTTCGAACGATTGACCTGAAGATATTTGTACGAGACTGCAATCTTCCGCTCTACCACTGAGCTAAAGGAGCGAAGGTAATCCATTAATTATTAAAGGGAATTGTTTATTTTGAATATATATTCTACCAGAACAACCTAAGACTGCCAAGTTGATGCTACAAACACAAAGGAACTCCGTCGTAAAGCATGGCTATGCAGGTACGCGTCAATCATAAGAAAGGCAATAAATATAACAAAGAGTCATATTGGCCTCGTGAGCCTCGATGGATTTTCCTTTGTACCGCCTTGAAATACGGGGGCATGAAGTACTCCGTCGGCGATACTGGCATTCCACCGTACAGATTTAAATGATTGCTCTTTGTTTGAATACCGAGGTAGTACTTCAGTAGATTCAGCAGCCTCAAAAAGTCGATTGAATGAAGCTGAGTTGTCCCGTTCATTAACAAAATTCGCAGGGCTCCCGAGTCCCGAATCCTGATTGCCATGTTCGTTTTGCTTCGGCTTATAGAGCATTGAATTGCCCCTCTTCTTGTTGCGGGAGCGGTAGGTCTACAATAACAGCATAAAATTGTGCATTTCCCAAAAAAACAAAAATATCGAGGAGGATCATTTACATTCCACTATTGCTACACAATTCTTTATCTTCAGGCAAATCTGAGCAAGACAAAGTGGGAAGCCGGCTTCTTGTATCTATTTCATCTCCTCTCTGCTATTAAATCGTCCCTTGTTGGCTTCAAAGCAAATCGTACTCGATTCAACTTTGGCATCCGGTCAAGTACGACTGTTTCCATCCACACAACCGCCTCTTTACACAATGTCGCTGTGTTTGCATCATAAGAACACAAAAGCATCCGTACAAGTCCACCAGCGCGCGCACCTGCCAATACCACTGATGGCGGAAGCTCGGCTTCGAATGAAATCGCTGATAGTGTGCATGTATCTATGAGTGTGAACAACTTCAGTCCGCGTTCATAGCTATACTCGTCACCATCGGGATGATCGGTCACACTATCCCCTCCTTTCATCCACTGTAATCGACCTTGATCGGATCCAAACATCAGCTCTTCCATCCTCCCCAAATTCGGATGCCCAGCTACGCCATACAGTCTAGCCTGCACTTGATGGACTTCAAGACTTTTGTAAAGGCATCGGACTACCCACGGTACTATAATGGCATTTGCCAAGAATACAACCAAAGCTACCTTCCAGAAGCTCGAAAAAAATGTATCGAACCTTCTGCCGGATCGTTGAGACCAAAAAGGAGACATCACCGCCGCAGAAATTATAAACACTATACTGAAATACGAACATACTCTCAGCAGTCCCTAACCAAATTTTTGTGGACGTGTAGCCTCATAATCAATTGCTTCAAGAAACTCCCAATTTACCATCGCACGTTTCGCATCTCCTAATGTCACAGCATTATTCTCCACCACTTCAGAAGTCTAACATATCGGCGTGATACCCCATAATTTTGCTCCTCAAACATCTTGCATCTCATGCCATGGTGCCCGATTATCCTTCAATTTGAGGCAGAGAAGTCGTTCAAGAAGCATATCACTATCGTTGGCAAGAGAAAGTCTTGCAAAAGCCTGGAAATCACTATCGGATTGAATAACTCGAGGACGTTGACGAAGTAACCCCTGCAGAGCATATGCTACGTCGCCGGCCATGCGTTTCTCCGTTTGGCGCCGCTTGAGACATTCAAGGGCAATGGATATCAATTCCAACTTCGTAAGATGGATTGAAGATTTATAGTGATCAATCAACTGGCGTAAGGCAATGGCATCATCCCAAACACGACCTGGAAGATTCCGTTTTGCGACTAATTCGGGCTCAGCAGTACCAGGTGTGTAAATCGAAATGCGGTGTTCGCCTGGATATAGAAGAGCTTCTGGAACAGTCCAGAGATGACTTCCCCAGTCTCGTAGCCATTGTGTTTTTGTATATGAAAGATCGTCTGAACCCCTCTCCATGGCATCATGAGTATAATTAGTAAAATTAAATCGTGGTCCAACAACTATAGCCATTGAGTGGCATGCCCGTACGATATCACATATTCGATATACTTCTCCTATGCTTTTGTCCGGATCTTCATCTTCTTCGGGATGGATACACTCATAATCTATCCAAAAAGCATCAATACCTGCGGTCTTCGCAGCACGTATCGCGAACTGGATAAGCATTCCCATGTCCTGCTCCGCGGCAGCCTGTCGACGAGCATTAATAGAAGACGGCAAACTGGGGTCTCCGGAAATGATGGTATAGAATTGAAGACGGGTATAAGGTGTGAACATGTAGTTAGGGTAACTGTTTCCATGTGACTGAGCCCAGGTAGATACGTGACGAGTAGTGTAGCCAGTAGATGCGGAAGGGTCTAAGAAACAGAGGTAAGCGGGGCCGAGTTGTCGTTCGGGAACATCGTTTGTGTTGAGCGATGTAGATGATGATGGGTGGAAACTTCGCTGTAATCAGCGATGCTGTGGAGACTCATGATATCAGTAGAGTGATTGGCTTCTTCGTCAAGTGGGTGATATCTGTGGGCAATGGACGTTCTCGTAATGAAGCAAGAAAAGGCTGTCGGCCTTGCAAAGGTGCTTTAACTTGGTCATGGCGTCTCAGTTTTGGACGGTTGTAGATCCATTTGCTGCGGGGATTTTGTGTGATTTAAATCGAGGGTTCGCCGGGAAATCGTGGGTGTAAGGGGATCTATAGATCAGTTAGCTTGGTAGACTCATGCACACAGTCTGATTTCTAGCAAAAGAACGGAGACTGGATAGACGTACTAAGGATAGGAGAGCGGGCGTCCCAATGGGACTTTCAAAAGCATATAACTAACTTCAAGAACTTTCGATCCCCAAACGACTATCACCGCCAACTTCCCCCAGACCCTTCTTTCCTCGAAGTTGGAGCTCGGATCGTTTGATATCACGTGAAGCGGCGCATGAATCCAAAGCATTGTTTTGATAATGAAATTATTTCGGGAGGTGAGATTGGATGAACTGAGAATCTTGCGCGGTACAAGATTCATTCCGGGTTTGGTAGAACCCTCTTCGTCATCCTCGTTGTCACTACTATCACGACGATTTCGCCACAGCAGATACCAGGTCCATGAGCCGTACGCTAATGCTGTGCAGTATAAAAATCTTATATATATCAGTATTCTGATATGACATGATATTTAGAGGGAAAAAAGGGGGCGATTATCATATTTGTTTGTGGGATCGATTAGCAAGATGAATACATACAGCAAAATTATCAGTCGTGCCCTTGCGAAATATGCATAACGGTACGTTCGATCGCTTTGTAAAGTGACAAAAATAACTGATAAGTGAAAAGTTACATGAATGGCTCGGAAGAGATTGGATAGGGCATAGTAAGGGGGCCGCAGGCGGCTAACAGATATGAAGTGGAAATAAGGTTCGCGGAGGAGGATAATAAAGCCAATGAGAGACGTGACAGAGATTATACGGAAAATACTAGAAGGATTGTTAGTGGGGATAGTGAGGGAGATGACGGTGAGTAGAGAGACTAGGCAATTGAGTTAGGAGTGTGTAGAAGGTGGCAGAATTGGGGAGATCATAGACTGAAGAAAAAGTGGAATAAGTGAGGTGAGAATTAGAACGTGCTATCACCATGGGACGTGATGAATTGTAGTTGGAGACAAAATGAAACATACAAAGGCAGTGGCATTACATGTTGGGGCAACAAAAGGGTTATGAAATAGCTGATGTCGTTATAGGTAGTATAGGCTCCGAGGGGAGCTGGGTGAACCAGAGAGTGACGAGAATAGAGAGATTCATGTGGCAGATCATTGATCTGGAGAGATTGAGTGGGGCGGGCTCGCACTATATACTAGAGATAGTTTGGGCGAAATGCGCAAGCGGAGCGGAACGGAGAGCGGAGAGGTGGAAAGTTGGATGAGCGCAAGAACAAGAAAAGACGGAAAACAAAACAGGTTGAATTCAAATCAGACTCACTTCACAAGTTAATGAGGGTAGACTGAGGCTGAAATGTAAACCTAGTCAAGGAAATAGAACTCCTTGGCGTTATGGCTATGCATAGCAGCCATGTCTATATCTATCTTGGTATGATTGGATAATCTTTATCCAGACAACGAATTGTATGTCAAACCAAGAACATCCAGATAAGTGTATAGTATTGAGGACTTTGAAACTTCGGTGAGGCTGGGATCAAAAAACTCAAACGATATAGGAATCTGTTCATCTAGTCAGGAAGTTCTGCTGATCTAACCCTGTCCATTGCAATAAACTTACTCGGCCTCATTGGATATGAATGGTTACTTTCAAATACAGTTTGAGGAAATATACCACAGTATTGGCTCCAAAAGTCCTTACTTCGCCACGTGAATAGCGTGAACCTGCTTGGTGAAGATAAATACCTTTATACCTTTATTGCATCACCAAATCCACTTTTTGTGCACATACATTGAGAGAAAGCTCTTAAGCTTATAATTTTATATCAAAAACTTCTGGGCAGCCCAGGATGCTTTTTGGTTGAGATAGCTTCCGTGCATATTGATTTGAACCCCGGAAAATCCTAAACAGCCCTTCTAACAATCAGCCACTTGATACACGATTTAAGCCCATGGGAGTGTAGTCCAATAGGTTGGACGAAAAACAAACCCACAAAGATGTGCATTTACTTGCAATGAAAGATTATCAAGTAGTGATATCGATGAATATTAGCAACAAGTAACAGTTGAGAAAATGGTCTAAATGGGTACCATAGAAATTAAGGGATCAATCGCAGAGTTCAACGGTGATGAAATGATTCAAAAGTGTACAGTTATTGGAAAAATATGCCCAAGAATGTATGCCAAAGGATGTTGGTAGCTTATCTTTACAGATATCTGGGTATCTTTCAGCAAGCTAATTCTGCAGAAACAGTACCTTGAAATGGAAGTTTGCAATCAATACAGACGAGATGGATGCTAGAAAAACAGTGAGTGCTTGAGATGTCAGAAATTCATTTTACTCGAGCATCGCCTAAATGGGCGGTGCCAGTGAGAATGAACTGCGGTAATATCAGTGAACGCAGAGGGTTGGGCTCAGAAGCCATACCTTTGGGGTATAACGTGTGCGCATCTAAGAGATTGAGTACATAGTTAACACTCCGCACGAGATGGAGATTTATATAATAGCCTCACTTACCCGTCACCTTTGCCAATGCCAACATAGAGCCTAGGAGATAAAAAATCAATAGGAGTTCATGTCAAGTCAGTGGCGCATAAACTTTCGGTCCATTTTCACGATGACTCCTTGAAGACATGTGTTACACTCGTACAGGAATTAGATATAGTTCTAAAGCGAGATTAAATAACACGAAATTGAAGTGTCAGCGAAAAACGGTAGTAACGATGCAAGGAGTAGATGTCCAAAACCGTCTGGGCATTCGTCGCGAATTCATCCTATGAAGTTGTCGAAAATCAGCAACCCCTAGCTATTGTCTAAGGGGGTGCATTGGCGACGCATGTTAGATCAATAGTTTTCTAAATTTCCATGCCAAATTGTCCACTCAAAATCTCACTTCCATATAAGAATGCCTGTCATCTGACCTCCACTCAAACTAATATTCCAACTCATCTGGTCTCACCAGCTTCAAGCCCGTCATAATCCTGACATGCATGCAACAAGCCCTTCTTTATCTCCTTCTTGATTCTCCCATTTGCTCTCTCATTCCCATTTCATCATCTTTGGGTACAGCCACAACTCCGTGGCTGAAGATAAATATGACAAATCGCAATCATGGATACTCCTAATTATCAATCACGCGGCCAAATTCGCGAACCAATACAACCCAAATAAATGACCAGAGTGGAATTATGAGTGAAAAGGGGAGCATGCGATATGATCAAACTTCATTTTTCCATTTAGTTTTCAAGTGCCGAAACGATATAAGCGGGGGAGGATCAAGTCCCGAGATGTTGAATAATAATAAAATGAGAATCCATGTTTCTTCAAATTATCCCATACAGTAGTACTACTACCCCATCCTTCAAGCTAGTGATGTATGTCTTGCTTTACCAAGACCGGGTATAACTTTTTGATGTCTCGGGGAAATATCCATGAATGTGTGAAAGATTACCCACTCTAGATAGATGAAATGGATCGCGCGATAAGGTACTCTCCCTGGTGACGTAGAAGCTTCGCTACTACCGCAAAAGATAAGGAGAAAGGTGTGTGTGATGACAAGTTCCCAGATACGAAGAAGTATCCGAAGATGGGATACGGGACGAGCGGTATTTGAAGGTGGAGTGGAGCATCGATCTCGTGATCTGGTGATCACCGCAGCACACCCATTCACGGGAAACTACCTAGTAAATTGTAACGGCACGAATCTGCTAACACGAAAAATAGATTACCCTCATCGCCATCGCTATCGCCATCGATAGCAAAACTTGCTTTCACAACAGCCGCAATGCCGATTTCAACTGCAAGTGTCAAAATGTACATATGAACGCGGAAATGTCTAAGAATCCCTACTTTTTCGGTATACCGTCGCCGAATATAAACACGTGTAGAGATACTTCCCATGCCAAGTAGAAAGAATTGAAATTGTCGAAGTACATATGAAACTTTAGCACACGGTAAATGTCTAAGACTAATCTCATATTCTATACCCCGCCCTTCTCAATATGCCGAACACGTGTTGTATACAAATCCAAAGATACCTAAGTGCAATGCTCCGTCAATCTAAATATACATATGAAACTTGTACTCTTACAAGATATATGTATGCTTGTGTCTCGATTGAGCCCACTGCCCCAATGTATTCATGCCGTTCCTCGTTCGGCACCCATGTCTTCTCCAATATCAACACGTGTGCTCCAGATACCGTCCCGGACCCATTGCCACTCTTAGATCAAGTACTCATCCACCCGCTCCGCTCATTTTCTCCTAGTTTTTGGTTGGATACCTAGCTTCACACAAATACACGAGACGGGAAATGAAGGCAAGCGAGATTAGGTTACTTTCTGCACAAACTTTCGAGTAATAATCAAGGGAAAATATGAGGAAAATATTGGTATATGATGGAAATATGTGCCCGAATGCGGAGAGTCACCAACGAGTTGGTGCGTACTTGAAGGATTATGGATTAAAGATAATTGTGCAACCATACGTTACACAAACGTAGGAAATACGTACGGGCGAGGAGAAATGGATTGCCACGTGGAGTGTGTAAATAGTAGTACTTGCGGATTATTAGATAGCTTATAGTTTATGATTTTAACTTCAGCAGGTCGAGATGAGATGTTATGAGAATATGCATCTCCTGTGCCTTTGGGAAAGGGGTATCCCAAAACAGCGTTCAAAATCATTGCAACGATAACCTCATGTGAGGAAAAAAAGAAATTTGATCAACACATTAGTAAAATCCAGCATGAAATCTATGATTTGGCTATGTGCATCGCTTTACAATTCAACAGATCACCATGCCAGTGCTGTGCTATATGACATATCTCGAACCTAGATAACCATACTTCTCAACTGTCCTTCACTAAAAGATACCCACGATACATACGCCTTTTCGGAGGAATTTAACCAAGATTGCTAACTTTGCGAGACACAGATAAATTGATGATGGTGTCGTGATGAACAAAACAGATTCGGTTACAGCCGAAGATATTTCTCGCCACATTTTTTTTCTCTGTCTCCGTCCATCCTCCATATCGGGACCGAGATATGGAGCTAATGCAAAGCATCAAATAAAATAAATGAGTGTTACCACAGGTTTTGTAGCGTACCATCTCATCCCTTATGCATCTCTTATTATCCAACACCCATCACCATCCTGCCGTAACACAAACAAGCAGGTAAGTATGTGTGATTTATCCTCAACTTCCAAATGCTTCGAAATCAAGATAAGCCAACTACGACACCCCGCATAGTGCCCTAATTCCATCCGCTAATATCTGAAGCCTAGAACCGACCTTTGATAATACACTCTTGAAATTACAACATCCATGTGCCACCCTTGAACCGCTCCGGCTCCCCGGAAGTATACTCTGCAGGGCGCGGAGCCCTTGAAGACGATATGGGGATTACTTGGAGTGTCCCCGATTCGTATGCAAATGTTGTATATCATGCTGGGCCACTAGCTACCGGTGAATACTTCCTCAAGCCTTTCTGGTAGCATTGACCTCAGCCATGGCCTCAACCATGATCAGGAAAGATTTCGATAGATGAACACAGCATAGTCCCCAGCATGGGCAGCATAGGCTATATAAGCCAGCCAGGAAGATAGATAGAAAGAATATTCTCGAGCACCATCCATGAGAGGAGCCTTGAAATGCCACAGGCTGCGGTGTAACGTAGTAACAACGAAAATGTAAAGACTTCTTTGCCTCGGATGTTTATCCCCACGAACATTTCGCGTCCAGGTGTTGAGTTAAGCTTGATTTGCTTCAAATCCAAGCAAGTCGACACGCCTCTTAGCACTGTTTATTCTCTTGTCCGTTTATATTCATTGCGATCGTCAACAGGACGAGACGAAGCAAGTATGTGGCGAGAAAGCCGTGGGCGGTTTCAAAATATCTTGCTTATCCGAACTTCAGACAAAAGAAAGCCACTGGCCTGTGGTGTAATTAAAGGGTGGCAGATTTTCAAACTTTGAGAAGTCGCCACCTCTTGCAATCCCACCCTCTATGCATGATTTTACCAATTTGGCATTGTATGCACTGTAAATATGCCTATTGATTCATCCATCAACAGACACCCTAGTTCATTCTTGCCGCAGTAGCACCTTGAAGGCCTCACTAGATTGGAACCATCCAGTGAGAACATTTGACATCCTTGCTGAAATGCATGAATGATATTGATGGATGAAGAGAAATATAGTAAGTAGTTCATGTGCGATTTGATAACATCTGGCAACTATGATACCATTGGCAACGGTTGCACACTAGTGGTCTACACCCACACTAATTAGCAACCATGTTCTTCTTATTTTCTTTTTTTTGTCTGCGTCGATCTATGAAAAGCCTTGTTTTATAGAATTAGGCTATCGGCAAGTCAATTCGCACAATTAATCTAAATTCATTGCTACTATCTTGACACTATTGATCCTTTCACGGAAGACAACCGAATGAGTGTGCCTACCTGCCGCTTAAACATACCTGGTGAACTGAGCTGCGTTTCAGTATGCAATGCCTGGCTAATTGGGGGCAACCACAAAAACCACATCTTCAAAGCAGCGGATTATAATAACATCAATGTATGTGTCAATAAAAGCTGCTGTGCCAGAGCCTTCCGTTGATAGAATATCTTGACCAGTGAAATCTTGAGCGCTAACTCTCATCCATGTTTACGGTTGTCATTCTATTTTATACAAGCAAAGCGCTATGTGTGACACGCAAGTTTGGGTTGGAATGCGGGGAAACAGTTCAAGGCATGTCTCTATTCGACATTCGTCTTCACCTGCATAGTGGGCGTCATGATTCATTCATGAAAATTGAAAAATATTGCTTACTCTGGAGACCTATCGTGTCGTCACCAATAATGCCTACGTAGGCTCACCGAAAAGAATCATTGGACAATGCTGCAGGTTCTGAGCTTGAAAATCATTGCGAAGTTTAAGAAACGCCAGCAAGGATCCAAAGCAACTCAAATGATGCAAATGCATCAAAATCTTGAAGAATCCTGGTCTAACTACCTAAATGTAATTTGGTTCCTGAACTTCCTGCAGGTTGGAGAGAGGTTAGCTTTCAACAAATCGCCATCTCCCGTTCATCAAGACCTTGTTCCTTTACTATGAAATGGACAGTACAAAATTTGCACCTCTGGGGTGCAGACAATTCGAGATCGGAGATCGCCATGAAGTTGTGTTCAAATTGATGGTTAATATCGATTACGACTGATGTTTCTCATGCCGCTGTGTATTGTGGGAATATGCGAAAGGTCAATTAGAGATGATTCTATGCCGGAATAGTACCAGGGGGCTGGTGGTGCTTGAATAGATCATCCATCGGGATTTAAACTGCCGATTTCGAAAATGAATGAAACTCTGAGGCCCTAAAGGGTTGTGTATTCTCGATCAGGATCGTTCAATGCAACAATGTGTGTCAAATATGGATACGGCTGCATATTAGCCGACCGATGGAGATGAAAGAATGAAGGATGTCTGAGACTCTGAGTGCAATTCAACGGCAAGATTTCGCACCGATGAAGGAATCTCACCTCTTAGTAAGTAAGCTAATAAGAAAGGTGACCCCGCAACGCTATCGAAGCCATTGTATGCCAGCTTGTGATGGGGCGACGACGACTTCATGTTAAGTGTGGAGTTGTACATACTTCAGGGCGATAGGAAGTCGGAACGGAGAGTCAAAAGAATAGAACACCGTGGGAGAGCTGCGCATTTCTTGTCGATACAGGCAGAAGCGCAGGGTATATATGCGTTATCCTAGTTATAGCCAATAGTTGTACAGAGTGTGATGCAGCAGGCCCGCGATATAACGAATCGCACTTGTCTGTAAATTCTATCAGATTAGCGATGGGGGTCTGGTCATTTTTTAGTCTGTGTGCTTGCATTAGCATTCGATCGTCATCCCCTGTCAATTGGAGTGTGGGTGTGGGGGAAAAAAGTAAAGATTTGAATGAACGGTTGTAAAAACGAATTTGGAAGAGCAGCTGCTACTGATGTCCAAAAACGCTCAGACTAGTACGAATAGAACGACATGGAGACAATCCATGGCCGGATTAGTTAAACGAGATGGGCACCTTCAGCAAGTGGAGAGGCATTGCTACGAGCCATGTATTCATAGATCTAGCTATCCATGATTTATGTGTTCAAGTGATGGATTAGATAGATAGATACCTTTGAAACTAATTCGAGTAATCAAGGAAACTCAATCTAGTGAATCTACATATGAGACGTTCAGGAGGCTTCGAAGGTGTGACAGGATCGAAGAATTTTGCAACTATGGCGCATTAACCGCAATAAATCGAAAATGGTCTAGCTCAATTACTGACGATGCGGAGTCGCTATGCGAGATAACCAAAGAGGCATGGTTTATGTGGAATTATAGTTCCTTTAGTCCGCCCCCTGTTTTGGAATTGAAGGGGACGAGGCAATCTGATATTGATGTTTATCACGCAGGATGTGTGAAATGTTGAATAAGAAAAGATAAGGAAAGGAGAGTTCATGTGCGGATATTGAAACTTAGTCGAAAATATTAGGATAACATCATTTTGGTAAAATTTCATGTTGTGCTTATGATGACTATCATGCCATCTCGATGGATAGTAATTGACGAGTGATCCACTTGAAATTCCAGTCTAGAGTACGTGAATTCCCGTGATAACGGTGATACGAGCTGAAAGTCAGCTCCTTGGTAAGAGACGGCATCGGTACGACCGACTAGGGCTGAGACTTTTCCATCACTGGAATTCCGAAGCTTCTCCAAAGCCGTCCGATGAAGAGTCCACGAAGCCGTCTTATGTCGTCGGTTAGAGATAGTGCTGTCTTGTGAACCCCCACTCACTTCTCAGCCCTTAGTGTGATCACCAACTAGCATGGGATTCCTTTTGTTTAGTTCGAAATCTTGTAACCACATTTACTCTGTATACCCGCTTCAAATAAAGTATCGGAGAGAAGATTGGCTACCGTCAATGAATTTCGAGGTCGCTCTCTTCAGCCTCGTGATAGACTAGACCAAAAAGATCGATGAGTGTTGCCATGTTGTTGGGTGGAAAAGAGATAATCTCTCTCAAGAGACGGCTGGTTTGTGGGAGATATATTGTTTTGCATGAGGATCTTGTACATGGGGTTATAGTACTTTCATGGGTCTGCAGTCTCTTGGTAAGTACCAGAGATGCAGTACGTTGCTTCATAGGAGATGGCATGTTGTAATTACATACCAGAACATTGTCATAATGGCGTGTTTGACTATGTAAGCCTGCAGTCAAAAGTGCATACCGTCAAATTGGTTGTCGCTGTACCCCGAAGTATGTATTGCTTCATAGTGGCATGAGGTTAAAACATGACTTGGTGACGTTGAATACAAGACGGATACAAGCCATGTACAACCACAACCCCACGAATTACTGTCGTGAAAGCACCAGCGACATGACCCAACGACGTTGCAACGCAGGGGCGCAGAAGGCGTAGCAAGCAGCCGCCTTTCACAATCTCTGGGTTTGGTCTTCATATCAAGCTTGTGAGCGTTTTGTACTTTTCATGCATTCGTAGTTCCAATGCTATAAGATAAGAGAAATTGATTGGATCGATGAAGCTCAGATATCAAATGATTGAACCACGGCTCGAAGAAGTGAAATTGGGATAATCTCCGCAATTTTCTCCGTTTTCGTGATTCCCGTAGTTGATACTACTGAACCTATTTTTATTCGGGGTCAGATAGTGGACAATGCTTCCTATGTTTAAAGTGGATAATATCTACAACGCCGCTTTGTTCGAGATAAGTCCTGGGAGCGAGAAAGCGAATTCAAGACCATGAAAATGTTTATATTTATTAAACCTTTCGTGAATATCCAAGAACAGGGAGGTTGAGGTATTAAATAGATGTAAAGTAACAGATCAATCAATTGTCAATCAATCGTCACTCAATGAAACAATAAAGATTACATGGCTCCGTCTCAGAAGGTTTCTAGCTGGCTCATCAAGCGTCTTAACTGTTATCATACCTATCTTTTACTCGACTTAACTAACATACTTCATAAGTTACTTCATATACACAGCCATTCAGGTATATCGAAGCGCCGAGGAGCTGAAAAGACCATACGGAAGACCTAGCCTTGGAGCACGTTTCGTACCTAATGACTCTCCAGTGTGGAGAAATACGTACTAACACGGTCATGGAAATTAGACCCTAGATCTTGGCCCATGAGGCTGTGGCTCTTGGAATCTTGTCCTGGATATTTTGAAGCAGCCCGGATTCTGTGACGTACTCCGTAAAGCTCATCCGTGAAATATGTTGCAAACTTGTAATACCGTGTTTGAAGGCTTCTCGCCGAGGAGTTTCCTTGAAGCCGTGGCTATCCAGTTTATTGTTGTCAATGGAGATGACGAAGGAAACGGCTATAGTCCCAATGCCAAAAGTCACATCCGATTGCACATGAGCATATAGATGCTATAACAATCACTACCCACAGCTTTCGGAAAGTATTTTGGTACCTACCAACCCAGCTTACCTTGTGGTGTAACATGGTTCAAACCATTCTACTGTGACCTAATGCGGTGATAGAGAGATAATGCCGATCTTTCTTTTTCACGGGTTTCTTGGAGATACGCCTATTATAGAAAACGGATGGTGTCGAGCGGGAAGTCAATAGTTTGGGACACTCGAGGTTCTTCGCTGTCCCAATCTAATTATCATGAAATGAGGGGAAATCTCAAGGATCCACTAGATATTGGTGCTCGTTGCTGCAGAAGCGACCAAAAGGAGAATAGAATGCACATCACTTTATGACAATGATCATTGACGAATCGTATAGAATTTTGGATGAAGGAAAATGTTGATGTTCCGAAAAGATTTTAAGGCTGGGTAAAGATTGCGAAATTTGATCATGATGGATGAACCATTTGCATTTTTATTGCCGCTGTAACCATTTCAACAGGATAGACAGAAGGCAGATGAGACCATTCGTTCGTAACTCCTTCATTAACCGAAGTTGTCATCATCATTTTATCAATATCTCTATCAGAGCGGACAGAGCGGACAGAGCCACGGCCAGTAACCAATCATATGAAATTAGCTTGAGAATGATGATTTAATCGTCGCCCAGCTCAGGTGATTGATCATGGCGTTTTTGTTTTATTTCCTCTCGCTTCGATTTCGCGATGTCTTGGCCGTAAGGCCTTCTGCTTACTTGGATAGGTGAACTATTGCTTCAACAGTCACAGTGCTCACTCACTAGTACTTTACCAATATCAGTCATTTCCCCTCCTGAATCTAATTCTTTCGCGCGAAGTTCGCGATGATTAATTTCCTTTCACGATCCTGCCTTGGATCTTTGATTATTTCTATTTCTTTACTCGTTACCAAGGCCTTGAATTGGGTTACTTATTGAGATTTGACAAGTTAATTATATGCCCTGTACCTGGTTCAATTGGGGATGAATCGGGAGCTAGACTTGATTTAGGTATCTTTGGGTTCTAAAAATGACGATATTTCAGGTGTTCGAATACAATATTATCCCATCATGAGCCTTGTTTTATGGAGCAACAAATCTTTGGACGCTTGAAATAAACCCTGTGTAAGTTTTCATAAACACTCCTTTTATGGATGCACGGGTTTGAGAATACATACGCCATCGTTCAACTCCTTGTGCGCGATTCCTTTCGAAAACCAATTCTCCACTCACACCATTCTTTTATTCTCATTCCAACCAATACCCCAGCATCAAAGCCTTGCCAGAAAATTTACGAGTAACCCTACACCACTGCAGGGACACAAATGCGGTCTTCACTAGGGCCAGAAGGATAACTTGGACCCTGTATACCACTAACCACTTTGTCTTGCCTAGTCAAACACCATCCCACGTCGCTGTTTTAGTTGAAGTATTTTCTTCAAGACTCAAGAGCGGCCATGAACATGGATGATACAAGGCCAAGATTGCTCAAAAGGTGGGGAACTTCTATGCAGCTGCTACCAGTCATAAATTCAAATGGTATAGCTAAAAGTCACCAGGGCTAGTATTTAGCCTTCTAATGAATATGCAAGGATTAATTGTGCCATTTTGTGAGTGAGCCATATCTTGATTGCTGCTATAGTCACAGTGCATATGTACATATTTGAGGATTAACTTTAACCAAAAGGGGTCAGCAGAAAGTGGCATGATGAACAACTATACGCTAATCGGTAATTAGTCTGATTATCTTTGTACTCATGATAACACCACCAAAATCACCCACTCACACCACTTGAACACACCACATCAGAAGAGAAAGAAAGAAGAAAAAATCAAAATTCCCGCAGGCCTCCGAAAAGTCTTGCCTTTTTGATACATGTCTGTACAACCAATCAGTAATTGTGAAGCACACACACACCTTTTCCTTAGTGACGATACTGATTTTCGCATGACTACCATTAGGCTAGCGTCTAGCAGCCTATTTTCACTGCCCTCTACCCCCAAATTGTAATTGATCTCTGCGCTTTACCATTCTAGGGGAAGTGGCCAAAAAAGTGAAAAAAAAGCCATCTGCACAAGACAGGCATTCTATCTGCAGGACCCAGACAGGCCAACTCCCAGTCAACCCCAACTCGCTACTCAAATCTGTATATACTTCGACCTCCGCCCTCATATTTTTGACCAATATCAGAACTTCAAGGACTTTTAAAACATCTACTTTTCGAAACAAGCAAGACAATTGAGTGAAATAAGGGAATGATACCATAGAATTACTCATATTCGTCAACTATTACTTATTCATAAATCACCTCATCCACTTTAGAAATTACGGCAGTAGTCTTCATCGCACAAGATCTCCTCCACTTAGTGTCGGGTGGAGCCTTTCGTCGAGTCACACCATAGCATACTTGACCGAGCTTTTGTCTACGACATAAAATCAGACAACACAGCATTATTCCTTACCTGCGAAAAGACCCATAAAGGAAGACTCATCCTTCGAATTTTGGAAATTTTACTTCCTCAATTAATTCGATCCTCATCAACTATTCCCAATTCCTTCTACACACTCTAGTACTATCAAGCAATTAACATACAAAATGTCTTTCGATATGGAATGGTCTCCAGATTTCTGCCTCGCCTGTGACAGGCAAACAGATGGCAGTGTTTACTGTTCAGAAGCTTGCCGTTTGGCAGAATACGAAAAGGCTTCCTCCAGCGATAGCTCAGCACCCTCCTCACCATCGTCACTTCATGGAGCTGCTTGGCCTTCAAAGTCGAATGGTTTCTACATGGAGCCAGCATACAACTTCAGCAATGCACAACCATACGGGGCAACTCCCTCTAGTACTGCGTCCTTCTACCAGCCTTCGAGATCATCTCCAGCTGCGAAGTCTACCTTGACTCCTTCGAGCTCGCAGTCTAGTCTCTTCTCCATGCAAAGCACATCCTCCACATCCTCAGAACCAGCACAATTATCGGCGGAATCAAAACGGGCATTGAGGGCATATGCTAGCTCATTCGATCAATCTCGCAACAACAGACGACAATCCGGCAGCCATTAAATGACTACCTCCTAAACTTTGCTGCCATATCATCTTCACTTCAAGCATTTATTAGCGTTATTTCAGACCGCACAAATTTTTCTCTCACCATGATACAAATACCCATATCTCATCTCTAAAATCCTTACAACGGAGTCGGCGTTTTCTCACAATATACGATCTAAAATCGATTGTTGTATAAAAGTGTTATCATTTGGGCATTCGGATCACATCATACATTCACACAATTCACATCTCTCATCAATCTTCGGCATTTTAAAAATTTCCTTGGGTCCAATCTTTGTTCATCATTTGCATCGGAGCATTCAGGATAGCGAGGAGTGGAGTCTCGCATTCTTATTATCATATCGACACTACACTTTTTTTTCTAATACATCATGGGCATAAGGAAGGTACGGGGCGGATATAAGATGTCATTTCAGACTATGGGAAAGCATGGGAGCAATGGGATAGGCAGCGTTGGAGCAATTCATTTCATTTGTTGGAAAGGAAGGAATGATTCACTTTATGGTGAAGGGGCGCCTTTTTTTCTCGCTTGATTAGCAATTTCATCTCTTGTTAGCGATTGTTTGGATTGGGAGGAGAATATACCACACGGTATGAATGGATGGATCACTCTGGTCTTGTCATTACTTCTTAAGAATGAAGTGAAATGGCTTGTCTTATTAGCATGACAGTCAAGAGAAAGAATAATAAAGATTCTTCAATCCGTTCACAAGATGACGGACTTGACACCAAACCTTATCTCTCCTCATTGCTTGTTTTGTGATACAATGTATGCGAGAATTGTGAATTTTCCTTGCCTTTTTCTTCTTCGATAGCGTTGACTCAATGACTTTGCTCATCCGACAACAGCAAAAACGGAGTATGGTTTAGTATGCTACCCCTCGCGCTCCCACTGATTCACTAATTAGAAGACAAGCAAATGATGTTCGTCGATCGGTACATTATTGCGGCCACCACCCCTTCCTTCAAACAAACAAGAAATCTAGTGTAACAATTACCTTGGCAGCTAGTTTGCGGCGAAGCCCAAAAAATAACAATGATGTGAGCGCTTAAAACTTAAATGATGAATATTTGTAAGTAAAATTAGGTCAGCAATAAAGTAAGAATTTCTGTTTGTAGCTTGTTGGTTTTTCACGAGTAGTAGAAAGAAACGACTCTGGATTGAGTGAGGAAAGCTGATGAACTTTGCACAGGGTTAGTGGGAAGGGAAATCGGAGAATTTTCTATGTATAGTTCTTTCGCAATTTTACTCACGAAATACCCGGCGGCAAACTGACCCGTATGCTTCACAGATTTCTAGAGTGGGAGGACTTCACGCATTTGAGATTTCTTGTGCAAGACGGAGATAGATTTTGTTATTGTAAGTATTTGTGATAAAATCAATTGATTTCTATCGTCTGGACCCTGATCTAAAAAAATCGCTCGAGTGAGCGGTTCGGGGCGTACTGGAAATTGATGTGATTCGATCGAGAGTTAGACTTCAGCCAAGACGATTTGGAATCGTCGACGGATTTGAACTCTATTATCGCGTCTAGTTCTTGATTTTAGATTCGGATAGAGTTTGGAAGAATTTTTTTGGTTGGATTTTACACGAGATATCATGCTGTACATCACTTCTTCCAGTGTTTCGAGGTGTTGTCGAATCTACGAGAGAGATACTGGAAAGATGGGATAATTCAACGTTGACTGTTAGTTGGTACGGACTTTGGGAATGCTCAGACGTTAGGCTACAATTTAGAGAGATTGGTGGATTCTTTGGGCTTGCACGTGTTCTGTTCCGCGAGATCTTCTGGGAATCATGGATGAAGTCTAACAATGTGTGGGGAGAGCTAAACGGATGATGATGCGATTCTCATGTAAGGTTGGATCATGTATTTACTCTATTAGTGAAGAATTCATGGATGAGCTGTCTTGAATGCATGAAGTGAGGTCTCCGCTGGGGGAATTCTTGTTAGGTAATGGGATCTGTGCTAGAGCCTTCAGAATTTGGGAACGGGGACACGTGCG